ATTTTTAAGTATTTGTAATTTATTCCGTGTATGTATACATACACTTGAACTCGTAATATTAACTCTTTATATTATTCATAATTTCTGTAGCCATAAACCGAGTAATTGCATGTTCTATTATCCGAACAGCTTTTCCTAAACATCTTGGCTCGAAGCACCTCAACTAGGATCGCATAATGAACGAATAACGAACGCTTCGCTGTATTTGTAACGATTCACGGGGGCGAAACAATTTCTGCTGAAACCGAAGTGAAATTACGGTGCACCATAGTCCCGATATTTTTAAGTATTTGTAATTTATTCCGTGTATGTATACATACACTTGAACTCGTAATATTAACTCTTTATATTATTCATAATTTCTGTAGCCATAAACCGAGTAATTGCATGTTCTATTATCCGAACAGCTTTTCCTAAACATCTTGGCTCGAAGCACCTCAACTAGGATCGCATAATGAACGAATAACGAACGCTTCGCTGTATTTGTAACGATTCACGGGGGCGAAACAATTTCTGCTGAAACCGAAGTGAAATTACGGTGCACCATAGTCCCGATATTTTTAAGTATTTGTAATTTATTCCGTGTATGTATACATACACTTGAACTCGTAATATTAACTCTTTATATTATTCATAATTTCTGTAGCCATAAACCGAGTAATTGCATGTTCTATTATCCGAACAGCTTTTCCTAAACATCTTGGCTCGAAGCACCTCAACTAGGATCGCATAATGAACGAATAACGAACGCTTCGCTACATTTGTAACGATTCACGGGTGCAAAACAATTTCTGCTGAAACCGAAGTGAAATTACGGTGCACCATAGTCCCGATATTTTTAAGTATTTGTAATTTATTCCGTGTATGTATACATACACTTGAACTCGTAATATTAACTCTTAATATTATTCATAATTTCTGTAGCCATAAACCGAGTAATTGCATGTTCTATTATCCGAACAGCTTTTCCTAAACATCTTGGCTCGAAGCACCTCAACTAGGATCGCATAATGAACGAATAACGAACGCTTCGCTACATTTGTAACGATTCACGGGTGCAAAACAATTTCTGCTGAAACCGAAGTGAAATTACGGTGCACCATAGTCCCGATATTTTCAAGTATTTGTAATTTATTCCGTGTATGTATACACGTATATAGAATCGCAGCGAAACCCTCTCACCGATCTACACACACACACAGCGAACCGATGAAGTCTGGATTAATATATTCTCAAAGGCATCCGCTTGCATTACCGTAATGGTTTTCATTAGTTAACGTCCGCAGACTGAATTCGCAGGCGGAGATTCCTTTGCTCCTTCGCGACCATGACCTTACTGACATTTAATTCTTAGATCGTCGACAGCTACGAAACTCGTCCGTGCAGGATCTGCACATGTGTATCGGGATAGCGTGCGCATTTCCATAACTCCGAAGGTCGCCAAATATTGCAACTAGAGGAATTACACCTTTCGCCTCCGCCTTTATATCTCGCTTTCATCGAACCGTGCCTCCTCCACCACCACCTTCTCCTCCTCCAGTCCGTTTAAATTCAATATTTGCGCGCACAAATTGTAGCCAATTAACCCCTTGCCATATTTTCACGAGTCCGACTCGTTCTGAAAATTTCTGATAATAACTTATCGAGTACAGATATGTGTTATTCTGTCCTTTGAAATTGGAATAAAATTCGAATCCCTTGTCATCAATATTTAAGCATTCGAGTAAATTTAGGCACACGATAAGCATCAATTTTCTTTCCCTTCTAAGAAACTATTGCAATCGAAAAATTTCTAATTACAGTAACTGCGAAGAAAACGGTGTGTCAAGGGGTTAAACGTTTCCGGCTCTCGTTTCGGATTCGACGAAAAAACAAAAAGAAACGATCATAAAGCACCGCGAAACGCGACGAATCGGGACAAAGATACTCGCGATCCCTTGGCCTCGATATCCTCGCAAAAATTCTGATCTATGAATCGTTGCGCCGGCACTCCGGCGTCCGACTGTGCAACTAATTATCACGTCCAGCGCCTGTTGCACCTTGGGCTGGATCAGCTCCGGTCTGCATAGCGAGTGCAAAGATAAGATTATTGTTATATAATGGTTATCAGCCGTGGAGGAAGTTTACAAACGAAAGTAAACATTTAAGGTTCGTGGCACCGCCAGCATAAATCTCCGAGGAAATCCTCGCCGCATGGCGTGTGTAAACGTAAATTAATTATGGCGCGCGTTGTTTTAATGGCGCGTTGACTTTTCGAGAAGCGGCAAACGGCGATTACTATCGCGTCGCAATTGCGACAATTCGCGTGTCCGAATAGTTTCGCGTTTTCCTAAGCTGCTCTCTAATCCGAAAGAAAAAAAAAAAAGAACGATGCAAGTTTGTATCCCCAGCATGCAAAAGCATGCCAGCAAACGAACATGCGTCTCCAGTAAACACGGAGCCGTTCATAATAAACGTGCACGAACGCTTAAACCGCCGTAATACGAGGTTTGATGATTACGGTTATTCCTGATCCTACTTAACTCCACTTTACATGCCAATGTAAACATTATACTTTCGTTCGCGAAAATCATACTCGCCGAGAAAATAATTTCTCTTGCGTATCGGCCTCGAAATATTCCACGCGGCCCGATTACGTTGGATTATACATATTTAAACTGTCTAATAGGCAACTAAAGTGTACGAATAAATTTCTGGTTGCAACGTTTGCGCGCGCGGCCGGATTCGTAACAAAAATTTCAAATTTATAGAATTTGTAACAGAATTTAAATGTTTGTCACTTTGAAACAATTCTTACGTTTCCACGAAAAATACTTCGAATCCGAGTACATCGACTAAGAATTTAAAATGAAAATTCGTAGATGAAATTTTAGTTGTTCGAACATTGAAATTATTCATACATGTTGTGTCGCATGTTCGAGAAATGGAAAGCTGTAGAAATATGGAGCCGACTGTCGAGCAAGCGTCGATAAAAATTGGAATATTTAAAAAGAACTGCCAGTAATTGGTCCGACCCGAAAAACCTGTAATAACGAGCCAGATGACTCGGCGGAGAAATAAACGCGAGAGAGCAAGAGTTTGATTCAAATGTTCAGGTTAAACCGAGGTATTGTGCAATGCGGTGCATTGGTACCGTGTGAGGATGCTATATGTATAGTCCTCGCTAGAATCGTGACAATGTTGCCAATGTTCTGTTTTGCTATATTTAAGGTTCCCTACTACACCTCCCAATGTTCTCCGTGACACTAATCGTGCATTATTACGAGTGCATCCTCAGGTGTCATCAGCCCGTTGACAAATACCCGATGCACATGCTCGCGCAGTCTCGAGTGACATCTTCGTGATATCCGAGAATACTTTTTCAATCAAGGTCACTGCTATGTTTTTTACAACGATCAAAATTAAAATCGGAATTCCTCGGAGAAAACTTATGGAATTTTCTGTAGGATAGAGAAAACTTCGATTTACCTAGTTTTGCACCGGCCGAGTGTGTACGTATAAACACAAATAATCCACAGCACTTTCGGCGAGGCTCCGGTATCGCGAGAACCGACAGTCAACATTGCAGTGAACTTCATGGAAACACATGTTTTACCACGATATCTGCGACGAACGATCGCTCGATTAGACGGAAAGAAATGTTGCCGGGGAGTGTTATTGCCGTTCGGCGAATGCGTCGAAGAAATAACGAACTACGTGTTAATGATATACGAGCCGTGAACCAAAAAGAAAAAAAAAAGAAAAAATGGAAGAGACTGAATAAATCAGAAATAGGTAAAAATCGAAAGCCCGACGATAACGTTACACGCGTCGCGGAGTAAACGTCGCATTTAACATATTCTTCTCTCGACTCTTGCCGTAATAATGCAACATGTTCGTAATAAAGCTTCGCTGCGGTAGCCGCGCGACCTTGAATTGTTGCGAACTCGATCTTCACGGTGTTCAACGATAGCAAATAATCCGACAATTACTTCGACACCTGTTTCAGCACGTTCCATTAACTTTCGATGGTTGAGGCACGATTTTTCAAACGCGACCGGTCGCGAATTCTAGAAATTAAGCCGCGGGAACTGTTCGCGGTTGCATGCTACGATGAACGATATCATTGGCGATGCTCGTTATTCGAAATGACAAATATTGAGATATATCTATAGCCTGAGATATAAGCAATTATACAAGAAGTCAGGCTATAGAATTGTAATTAATCTCAATATTAAAATTAATAAAATAGGACTAATTATGGCTAATTATAAGTCATATATTAAGGTTATAGATATATCTCAAACTATAGATATATCTATAGCCTTAATATAAGGCTTATAATTAGCCATAATTAGTCCTATTTTATTAATTTTAATATTGAGATTAATTACAATTCTATAGCCTGACTTCTTGTATAATTGCTTTTATTGTACAAACTACAACTCTCTTCTAGTACCGGTACAAATTTATGAGCGATTTTACAACATCGATGTCTCCGAAAAGTCTTTTGAAATATCCAAGTAGAATCATGCGTATAAACATGAATAATTATTCTCTAGTTCCGCGGAATGAATTAATAATATTTGTTCGAGATCACCAGCTCCAATAACAACACGGTCCACGTGTATTTAATCCAACGGATCTACGAAAATCGTGTGGTCTGTAGAAACTTGAATCACGTACAATCCACCTCACCAACTGATACAAACTTATTCACGTAAAAGTGATAGAAAATGAAACGCAACGTCTCCGCGCGAGGTAGCTCGTTTCCATCGAGATTTGAAATCCAGTAGCACACGATTCTTTGATAAGTTGCCCGCGTCTACCTCGTGAAAAATCAATCTAAAGGAAAAAATGTCACTATAGACTCGGGAACGCCCGACAATTCACCGCGGGAATCCCGAACGAAATGCTCGAACGGCTATCACGAGAATAGCCGTGTACTTGTCGGTTGACCTACAAAGGAGCTTTATCACGTGTAGAGAAGAAGCACGGTTGTTTTCGTTGCGTGTTCCTACCTTTTTCAGTGCGAACAACAACACAGCGTGTCTCCCGGATACGGTTCACACCGTCCTTTCCCGTCGGCTGCCGGCGCACGACTGTGGATAATTCGCGGTCGCGACCGGCCTAGATATATACGGGCTATTTTTAGCGACCGTCGTCACCGGGGCCGCTGCCGATTGGCCAACCGTGTCGTGACCAAGTAACGCGATTGGCCCGTCTCGCGAATACGATGCGAGTGCCGCCGATGCAAGCTTGGCTCGCGGCTGGGCGCGACTCGACGGGCACGACATTTGTTGACATGAAACTGTCAGAGAGAATACGCGCTCCCTTAACCCTCGAAAGCATGGCTGTCCAGCAGCGCGATGCGGCAGATTGACGCCGGGTCGTCTACGATGTGCGCACGGAACGTTTTTACATGTTTCAGTTTCTTCGATCGCTGCTCCAAACAGCGTGTCCAGCCGCTCTATGCACGCACCAAACGTTGCGGCCAACGGAATACAGTTCCGTTCCGTATATTAAAACCATTATCACAGCTGGCAAAGCTAATAAAACGTACAGTAGGTCATTTGGTTCTGTCAGTAACCGGGCGTACACTTCGAAGCTATAATTTCGGTTGACTAAAGTGCGCGCGTAAAGCTTTATACACGGCGCTCTTGAAGCGTACTGAATATGTGGAAAAGATCGTTCGTTAATAGGAGAATTAATTGAGAAACGCGAGATGATAACGAACGTAACCTGGCAAAAGTAATCCGGCATCGGTCGAGCGAGGGTTAACGTACCGGCATTCTGCGGCGTGTTGCTCTCTACCGACGCTACCTATGACTCGAATTCTATCCCTTTCCCTCGCTCGCAGCATTGCTTGCTCGTGACGATACGGTGAAAGATGTCCGAGACATCGTGTCTCGTACTTCAAATGATAGTCCGAACTTCCGAATATATGAACGTTCTTGCGATTATGATGCGATTCGGATGCGAAACCTAGAAATAATCGATATGTACAGATAAATAAAATAAAATAAATCTGTAGCTATAGAATAAATAAATAAATAGAATAAAATACAGATAATAAATATACTAAGATAATAAATAAGATAATAAATATAATAAGATAATAAATATAGAATAAATAAATAAATTTACCAAAAACAACTGTTCTGTGCCCAAATGTTTAGGGTTTATAACTTCAAGTCCAATCGTACAGGAGGGATAATATTTGTCTCTAGCCTCTAAAGAATTTGGAGTAATTGTGCCTTCCAAGGAGAAACGGTACGCTAAGGAAAATGACATTTCATGAGAGGGGGTCTAAGAACTGGATCGAGGCTCGTTCGTATTCTTACAGGTGAACAGTAAATCGCGCCGCAGGGTGGGTGGGTGGATGGATGGAATTTATGGAGAATAGAAGCGATGGTAATGGACGATTATTAACGCGGTGCGCGCTATTAATTCGCTCGAAGCTTTCGAAAAGCCTTGAAGTCGGCCGGCGTGCCTCTCTTCGGCTCTATGAAATCATAGATTTCCCGGCAGTATTATTATGCGAAAATTACGCTCTAAAATTAGTCACAGTCCATTACCGTGTGCGTACGGGCCACAGCCTGTAGAAAGAAGCTAATTGAATCTCGCACTTCTTTTTGATACGTATCTCAGTATTAATGTTCGCAGCGACGATGATGATATTTATGCTAATTGCAAGCGAATCGAATAATCGTAATGGTACGGTGGTGCGTCGTACACGTGTCCGGTCGACGAATATTTCTCGTCGTTCTTAGTCACTTGTTGCATCGCAGTAGATTCATCTTCGATCGCTTACTTGCGTGTCGGTTAAGCCGTTAAGGTTAAGCGATCAACACACTGCGCCGATAGTGTTCCTTCAATTTTTCTATGCGCACACATGCGTACATACATATTGTATATCAGCCAAAGGCCAATCGATGCTATTCGTGGTTAACGACACCCAGGATCAATACTTTCGATCATCTTACCGTGCCCCGCTACCGGGTCAAAATGACATTCTCCTTCGAACATCTGTGGCATTTAATTGTATGTATCTTTCATAGGAATCTCACAATGAGTTCGAATCAATTCAAATTTACTTTCGAATCACACTCCCTGAACCGATTGACAGAAATTGTACATACATCATATGTCATAACGACGCGACAGCTAGAAATGCGCGACTGCGCGAGGAAACGATGAACTACGCGATGAAATGGCAGCGCCCGTTACACAATGCGATGTTTCGAGATAGTTTTAAATATTATAAACGTCGGAACCTACCGACCGATTTAAAAGATGTCGTCGACTTAAATAACCACGTTGACAGTAAAGTATGACGTAAGTTTATAATATTTCTACGTTCCCTTATGTTTGTAAATTTTTTGTTATCTTCTAGGTTGTCTTGAAGTCACATTGTAAAAGAGAGTGCATCGGCGATGAAACTGAAAATAAGTTAGGATTGATATCAGTGAAAGATTGGAAAATCTACGAATTTTCCAATATACCAGGTACTTACGTCGATATTACAATGTATGCAGTATTGAGCATTCTGTAACAAGTTTATGTCGCTAGGACTCATCTTTATAAAAAATCCATTTACCCCCAATGGTCATCGATACTGGATTATAAAATGTTTAAAAGATTACACAAAGAAACCGTATAAATTAAATTTGGATGCCCACGATGATTTGGGCGATAATGAAAACTGGTGGGACATGTGTTATAGTAGCAGCAAGTCTATGCATTTGATACAGAAATTACGTTGGGCGACATTAGGATATCATCATAATTGGATCACTAAATTGTATTCTGAAACATCTAAAACAGAAATGCCTAGAGAATTATCACTGTTGACCTCATTTTTAGCAAAAACTTTGAATTTTGTGGACTTCAAAGCGGAAGCAGCAATTATTCATTATTATAGAATGAATTCAACTCTAGCGGGTCATATTGATCACTCCGAAGTTGACATGAATGCACCGTTATTTTCCATAAGCTTTGGACAAACTGCAGTATTTTTAATGGGAGGACTTACACAAGATGATCCAGCCGACTCCATACTTGTAAGAAGCGGAGACATAATGATAATGTCTGGAGAATCACGTTACAGGCTCCATGGTATACCAAAAATTTTACCAGCCACTTCTATACCATGGGATCAAGAAGAAGTAAATGACAATTGTCAACGGATTCCCAATGATTGGAATAAAGCAAAAGCTTATATTTCTGAGGCTAGAATAAATATGAACATAAGACAGGTGTTACCACCTGGACAATTAACCCTGTCATAAATTGTTGTACAGTTATTGCACATCGTGTAAGATTTGCTTGTATAGTTTTATTAAAAATACTTATATTAATTACATTGGTCTTAAATATGAATTTCTTCCATCGTATAAACTGCCGATTCACATAAGTAGTAGCAGCTGCACCATAAAAGATATAATATACCTCTATTAATAATAATCTAATGAAACTTTAGATTTCTCTATCTTCGCTATTTTTCTTCACAGTTCCATAGTTAAATTTTTGATCTTCTTTTGAAAAAATATTTAAGAAATTCCATGCAATTGCTGCCATTTTCAATGAGAAGTCCTGTGAATTCAATATACATCCTTGAGCAAAATCGTTTATACTTTGATATTTATTCTCACGGTATATCATAGGCATGTATGGTTTAAGTAAAATATAGGTAGCATCTTGAACCGCCTTATTAAGAATGAAATCTTTAGAAATGTCTGGTACATGAATCATTTTTCCTTTCAAATTAGACATGGTTCGTTAAAAAATGTATCCACCTACAAAAAACATTGTATCGCTTTTGTACTTCTATCAATGTAAAAGTGCTCTGTACTTTATATTTAATTGTAAGTATACGAACCTGTCTCTCTCGCTACAGATTATTAATATTCATCCTCGTGAGAATATCTTCACAAGCTCTCGATATTATTCCTGCACGCAAGCAACTTCCACATGAATTGCATGGATTCACAGCACATACGTCAATTCTAATTGTATTTGACGATTTGTTGTCGCTAATGAAAAAACAACGATTTTCTTTTTTTAATCGTTGCACAAAACATTCTCTCATTTCTTCAAACGTGTGATAGGTTTTCTGTTCTCTGTTATTATCACTTGATTGATTTCCCCATTCGTTGTTCATTATTCAATTACGAAATTAATGTCAAACTGAATATATACTGCTAATTTCAATGGTACATCTTGAACATTTAGTTGTTAGAATTGAATGGATGACGTTAATTTTGAAAACATTTTATTAGCTTTTCCAGGCTCTCCTACCAACAAACTGTTTCTCTGTATATAAGCAGTAAAACAAAACAAAAAAATTATTTTATTACACTATCGATTGTCAAGAAGAAGATGAACTACTGTCAAGTTCGAAATGTTGACAACATGTAGGGACTGGTGTATTTAAAAAACAGCGTATCCCTCATCTTTTTTAAATAGCGCGCTTCATGACGCGCGATTTCGTTTACCTCGAAATTTCCGGTCCCGCGAGTCAGCTGATCAATCTCATTCCTGTCTGCTTGATAGTTCTTGTAGCTATGTCTGGAAAGGATAAACTTCCGATTTTCCCTTCTCGGGGGTAAGTATTTCACTTAAAGATTGCTAATTCCCTATTCTTTCCCATATCTATTATACTTCCCATTTATTTCGTATGAATGTTTATTTTACGTTGTATCACTCGTGACCCTCAACTATCGCTAAATGGGTGTAACCCTATGTCACTTAATTTTAAACATTCTAATATCATTTTTAAATGCAATACTGTATTATCGTTGTCTTATTACGTTGTTATGAATCATGACACCAGCTTACAATTGCCTAATTACAATATCGAAGTTTCTTGTCTATTTTATAGATATACCTTTTTCGTTTAATTAATAGAATATATATCATAAATAGAAATAAATGAGAACTATATATGAATTGATATATGTTTCTTTCAGAGCGCAAATGTTAATGAAGTCTCGACTTCAGGGAGCACAAAAAGGACATGGATTATTAAAAAAGAAAGCTGACGCATTGCAGATGCGTTTCAGATTAATTTTGGGTAAAATTATTGAGGTACAACTTGTGCTATTTATGTTCCTAATTGCTTTTATTTTGTGTTATAATATTTGCATTTGTTATTCTTTTGCGTAGACAAAAACCCTTATGGGAGAAGTAATGAAAGAGGCAGCTTTTTCACTGGCTGAAGCAAAATTTACAACCGGAGATTTTAATCAAGTAGTTCTGCAGAACGTGACGAAAGCACAAATTAAAATTCGTTCTAAAAAAGATAACGTGGCTGGTGTTAATCTTCCAGTATTTGAATCATATCAGGATGGTACAGATACCTATGAATTGGCAGGTTTAGCTAGAGGAGGTCAGCAACTAGCCAAATTGAAAAAGAATTATCAAAGAGCAGTCAAGTTGTTAGTGGAACTAGCATCGCTGCAAACAAGTTTTGTGACCTTGGACGAGGTTATTAAAATTACAAACCGTCGTGTTAATGCTATCGAACATGTTATCATTCCCAGAATCGAAAGAACTCTTGCTTATATCATTTCTGAACTCGACGAGTTGGAGAGAGAAGAGTTCTACCGGTTAAAAAAGATTCAAGACAAGAAGAAAGAAGCAAAAGCCAAGGTAATGTTTAATTTCTGTAATAAAGCTTTTCAATTCTGAGTAAAAAATATTGCTACAATTTTTACATTCTCTTCCAGCTTGAAATAGCAAGAGCAAAGATGATGATAGAAGACAGAGATGTCGAAGCACCGAACATGCTCGACGAAGGAGATGATGACATTTTGTTCTAAACGATGTACATAGCTTGTTTTCACATACTCAAGTATTAAAAAAAAGAAAAGTATGATTTGACTCCGGATGAATGTGTAAAGCGTGAATCAAGTGAAGTATGATAAATGCAATTTATCCCCTTTACAAAGATCCCCAAACGATATCATTTCAGAAATTGTAGAATAGTAAAACTGTATGCGAAAAATTGTGATTAATTTTTCATAAGCAAGTTCTATGTTATCGAACTGTATATCGGGTAACGGTGACCTATACAACATTGTTGACATTTATTAATTACAATGTAATATACCCTAGAATTTATTACTGTACCATAATTAAAAGATGTTAACATTTGCGGTCGATCACGTGTCACCGGCTTGTTAAAAACTGCTATTGTATCGAAGCACATTCAAACTGTTTGCATTGTTAATATATTGATAAGGAAATTGTGGAATGTAAACCATTCGTGGCGGATATTACGGAAGGTTATAGAATCAGTTAATTTAGTAAGAATTTAAAAATAATAAACATGTACATATATACATTCACGCCTGCGTTTACGTTCCTTATCATTTTATTCTCTCTTACATAATACACTCCACCTATTCCAGATACATACACTATGAAAGAATTAAATCCATAATTCGATACAGCTTATAGTAATGTTGGACGGAGAACTATTATACATATTTATGTATACTGATTATTATACTATTCCAGATACATACACTATCAAAGAATTAAATCCATAATTCGATACAGCTNAACCATTCGTGGCGGATATTACGGAAGGTTATAGAATCAGTTAATTTAGTAAGAATTTAAAAATAATAAACATGTACATATATACATTCACGCCTGCGTTTACGTTCCTTATCATTTTATTCTCTCTTACATAATACACTCCACCTATTCCAGATACATACACTATGAAAGAATTAAATCCATAATTCGATACAGCTTATAGTAATGTTGGACGGAGAACTATTATATACATGTGTATGTATACTGATTAGGGTCTATCGAGTTCCTGTCGGCAACTACATATAGATCTGTGACACGCGCGCTTCCTGACACGCGCGTTTCGCATTAAGAATAATTAAGGACGATGCATAATCATTGTAGCCGGTGGATTTCTTGAACTGGGTCAATCAATATATGGACCTTTTCCCATATGAGCTCTCCCTACTAAGGGTGATGCGCGCGTGGAAAATCCTTTCAGTGCGCGGAAAATTCGTGCCGTGTCCACCCCAAAGATGTCGTCTGATCATTTAACGGCCGTTAAAGTTCCGGAAAATCGCTTCGACGAGGCGATCCATCACTTGAAATGGAACTTTTTCTCCGACGAGCCGCTGAACCGCGCGGTAGATCTCTGCGATAAGGGCGAGAGCCAGTTTGAGCTCGAGAGACATTGTCTGCTCACTTTAAAGCAGGGATACTCGAGGATGCTGGTGGATCAGAATGGGACGGTAAGTCAAATCGAAGAAGAAAAACTGCTTCGCAAACTTTATATATTTTCCGTGTAATTTTCTCATCGATTTTATGGTTCCTACGCGTCCTTCCGCATCAACAAGTAAACGTTTTCCTTGACCTTGAAGATAAGTGCTTTGCACAACACCCTCTTCCGTGGCATTATCGATAAGCTACACGTGGGGTAGGCATCCACCTTAAACTTTACATCGTAACAGCTTGAACCTTCGTCGACATTTTTTTATGCTTCTCCCTATTAGCGATCAATGTTATTGCGATACCGCTATATGCGACGCTTATATTTCGAAATAAATAAACTACTCGGATAATTCACTTGCTCCTGGTACATTGGAATAATCGAATAAATTTTTAGTAAACAAATGTGTATCCTGTATCTATTCTTCTTCAAAGAACGCGGCCGTTGAAAGAATCGCTTAGGATAGGGACCGTAGTCGATTTTTAAGTTCCAGGGAGACCATATTTGTTTCACATTATTGTTCAACATTCCCATCATCTTATCAGATAGCAGGCATGGCCTTGAACGGTATTTTGAAGAAGGGAGAACGCGAGGAAGCTGAACGTCGGCTCACCGAATTGAGCGACGAAAAGTTCAAAATAATATTCGGACTCCTCTACAAGGTCAACGAGAAGGTCGACCTCTTTACCAAGTATAATGTCGACGAGTTGTTCGAGTGCCGCATCCTCAGCGTAGATGAGAACTTCCGTGGGAGAGGTCTGGCGAACATTCTGATGGCGGACAGTATAGAGACAGCGAAAAATGCCGGCTTCAAGGTAACAATTCATTGGCGTGGGAATCGAAAAATCCTGAGGACATTTTTCACAGCTAACTGTGTGTGCATTAAATGTCCGAGATGCATGCCTTTTTAAGTTCCTCTGAACGAGTCACTTGCCACCCTAAAAACGGTGCTCCATGACCTTTATAACGGCCTGCCGCCATCGCGTTCCAATTTTACGTCACACATCCCCGTATCCGAACGGCAATTTCCAATAAATTGACGCGGTGTGCTCGCGCGACATAATTTCCAATTTTAAACTCGTACGACTTCTTCGATTCCAATCCGAAGAAAAAGAGAACAACGGGAACCCAATATACTTCGATGCTTCGTATCCTCGAAGTTTCACATTCTGTTTTTGTTTCAGCATGTTCTTCGATTGTAATGCATGGGATGAATGTTCGTTTACCAAGATGTAAAATTGCAATGCACTCGTTGCTTTCGCGGGAGGTACTTTTGCACGTGGTGTAATTCAAAGTGTATGTAAATGTTCGTCACAGCGGAAGATCTCTCGGATCGGAGCGCTCAATTTATCAATATGGTTTACAGGTGTTCAAAGCGGACGCTACGGGGATGTTTTCCCAAAAGGTGTGCTTGAAACACGGTTTCGAGGTGGAGGCAGAGATCTCGTACACGGAGCTGGACGAGTCGATCAGACCGGCTCCGCCCCATCAAGCCTTGAAGCTGATGGTAAAAGTGTTGAATTAAAGAAAGAAAGGCGAACGAACGAAAATCGTGCGACACTATTACGAGAAATCTTCGCCAAGCAGAAAAATCTTACGAAAGAAAACACCGTAGAGTAAAACTATGTGTATCGTTACGCGACAATAACAGCTCTCTAATGTCTAATGTATGTTCGTCTCAAAGACGTTTTCCAGAAGTAAATCATTATTCTTAACAACGGGAAGCGGGATCGCGTGTCTTGCGTAGAGAGTGTTAAACAAAAATTCAAGGCACCGGTGTCTCTGCTCGCTCTTTCTCTTCCTCTGTATCTCGGACGATGTGTTGTTACGCGAAAAAGAAAAACAGGAAAACCGAAGGGGGGAAAAAAAAAGATGAAACTAAAACGAAACACAGTAAGAGGATCTATGTTTAGAGTTTCGTTCGCTGAACTTTTGTTCCGCATTCTGTTCGTTGCAAACGAACCGACTCTACGAGGCTGGTCGTTCTGGCTCGCGATGCCGACGATAATACGAAATCAAATTTTTATGTTTGTACAGTCCGTGGACGACGAGGAAAACGAAAATCGCGTGTCAAATGTTATAGTTTGACGATTTGTTGCGTCTTCAACTACATTCTGCAGCTCGCTGTTGGGACAAATTGAAAGTATATTGTATACGTACGGTACACGAGCCGTCAAGATTTTTTGAAGTTTCGTGTACGAATTTTTTTACAGCCGTCGTAGGATCCACGATTTCTGGATCCGTCTGTAACAATTGATCGAATACAAGTGATTTAATAACTCATGGTTTCAGGAATTATGGATAACGGGTCCATTATGAGTATAAACTAAAAAAAAAAAGTGACAAGGAATATTTTTGTTGATATCACATGTTACGAAAATATATTACAAGTTATTTTGTAAGAATATCCGCCAAATAAATATTACAGTTTATAATTACTGATGGCTTTGTAACGTGTATATCCTTTTGATTCTAGAGTGCAACAATACTGGGATGAGTCATGGCAGTAACTGTTAGTGAACTTAATAACAATAATTTTAATAGCGAATTTTTTCTCGAGTTCATGACTCAACCCAATAACCGTAACTAAACTACCGATTTTTATGTAAAATTTAATCTTTACACTGAAAAGTCATGAACCTAAGGCAAACTAAAATCGTATTTTTTACATGAACATGAAAATATTTTTTCATTATTTTTCTTTTTACACACCAAGTTGTAAATAATGTGTACAGAATTAAACTGAACGAAAGTTTTCATTTGACTTTTTTTTCGAGTATCTTCATTTAATCTAAAAGAAATTTTATTTATATAAAAATCTGCAGTGTAGTTATAATTAACAAATATTAAAGTGCAGATTTCAATTAAATAAGTACAAGTTTATTTCAGCGATAAATGTATAAATATGCAACGCAATAAGCACGCCTAATAACTCGTTCTGCATAAAAATTCTAAAGTTTAAGAGGAATGCAATCTTGCAACAATATTTATACATATACTAGGGATATCTAAAAGTTTACTTGGGGTCTAAAGTATCTTTGCAGTTTATTTGCTTTAAATTGTAACTGCGTAGAATACTTAGCCTGTATTCTTTGCATGTATTTTATGTCCCTAGCCTTCTTAATAGCAATATCTTTTTGTGTTTCTGTCCATCCAAGAGCTCTATATTGTAACAGTACTTTTCGTAATTTCTCTTTTTTCGATACTGCGACTGCTCTGTTTGGATTTAAATTTTGTTTATAATATCTCATCAGGGATCTATGACCAATAACATTCCCGGATGGCAAAACCAGTTGATAATCACTGTCGTCTAATTCTGGTATTTCAACTTCCGCATCTGTGTCACAATTTTCTGCATCCGGATAACTGGATGAGTAATCATAAAACTCTGAATATTCAGCAAGCGCATCTCCTTCGTGCAACATCCTACAGTGTCCTTTGTCCACCATGTGCGCTCTAGCTGCATCAGTACTTTGGAAGCTTTTTCCTGTTAATATTGTAAACACATTGTTAATATCATAGCTATATAAGATTATCAGAAAACCTTTAACCCTCCGGCTATTGTGCCATAGTCATTTCTGACCCACATCGATGTTCTACTAATATACATATATTTGCATCGCTCTCCACTTGTGCACATCATGATTCTGACTCATTAGACAGAGGGTCAAAGAAGTAAATGATTCAAGTTTCTTACCAGTATCATTGCACCAAATGCACATGTAGCCAGCAAATATCTTTTCTCCAAGGTACGTGAGCAAACCTCTAATATCTGTACAATATTCAGGATCTGGTATAAAGAACGAATGTGCAACAGTCATATGCTTTAAATTCTTCACCAAAGACCTACTATGATGATCGCAGAATAAGCAATCATTATTTTTTATCGGGTTTTCTGTGTCTTCTATCCATTCGTCCGAGTCCACAGATTCTATGTCAGAATCTACTTCCATTTCCTCTGCTGATCGCTTGCCGCTACGGCTAGAACCTCCTTTTTGAATATCATTCTTTAACACAGGACCCGGAGAAGAATTGCTTGTATCATCAGCATCTTCATTTGGATTTCCTACTATGCTTTGTTTTGCACATTTCTCCTTGTGTTTCTTCGACACCAGATGATTCTCGTATTGATTTTTTGTATTAAAACTTTTTCTGCATATCTTACAATTCGTTAATTCTTCTTTTCTTTCTTCATCGTCCTTGTTCCTTTGCGCGATAACTCGCTTTTGGAATTCTTCTACGGTAACAGGAGGCAGCTCTGCTACTTTTCTCTTTAAGTTATACCTGTGCCAGTCCGACTTATAGTGCTGCCTTTGCACCTCCAAATCTCGAAACGCCACACGACACGTAATACATGTAAACGGCGAAGTCATTTTCGGCAACGCGGTTTGATGCTTTTATAAATACAACTTAACAACGAACATTAACAAATTACAAGGGTTTACTTCTTATGTGTAATAACAAGCGATGCAATATATTATATATGTCGTAATAGTGTATAGTAAAATTTACTTGTCATACCATAAAGAAATAGAAATAATATCATGGATACTAACAATTCTAATTAATATGCAATATCGATGTATGTACACTGTGGAGAAGAACTACTGTATAACCCGAATCACGTGCGCATTTATTTAATACGCTGACATTAAGGTTATACTAACGATCACAGAGTCATCGCAATTCTGTTACAAATATCACAATCATACGTATCTGATCTTGCACCAGAATCACTAAAAATACGTAATAGTATCAAGTTCTTGATTTAAGAAGTACATAGATACAACTCATTTTCCCGGATCATCAAGACAAACTTGTGTATCTACTCAATTAGCGGCAACTTGAAGAAATTCATGGTCTATCTAAATGTATTGAAGATTGGAGTCAATTGGAGTAACGACAAATGGTATTACGAATATGTATGTACATGTAATTACAGGCTACACACAGTTACATGAATAATAATCGTCACAATATCTCTGTGTTATTTATTAACTTTATCGAAATAGTTCCATTAGTTTGTCACTCGGTGTAATAAATTTTCTTCTTCTATGTTCATTTTTTTTTTATCACGTTACTGTTACTTAAACATGGACTATGATCTTTCATTAGGCAAGGCTGCCATGTTACTAGATTTTCTCTTTTTTGATACGCGATTTACAAATTATTGGTTCCCCCGAAATCCCAATTGTTCACAATGCTTATGTCTTTCTAATAATTTTACCAATACCGAAAAGAAATATCAATCATTCTCTTCTTATATCGTTAATGTTAAATGGAAAATTTGATTTCAATCGTTATCTGATTGCATGTAAAATGGACATAATCGCAATTATCATCGACAACAGCATCGAACGATCTACTAAGGTAAGAGTCACAAGATAAGAGTGTTCTTCTTCTAAACGTAAACTTTTTAAGATAATAAAATTGATACGCACAGATTTATGTGGACACGTATGTACATAATAGGAACCATGAAATTCATGTTGCGTCACTGCGAATGATACTGTATGTACGTACATACATAGTAACATCATACACTTGTATAACGTACCACGTGATCGACAGGAAAGAAACATAGACTGGGTGAAGAAGGTAGGGGCAGCGTTATCATGAACGGGGATCCGCAAGTCACGATACGGGCCTGGTTTTGTCGAACGAGCGTTTGCAGTGGTATTCAGGCAGTAGCCGTCTCAGAAGCCGGAACGTACATTGAGTGTGTATACTGTATACGTCGTGAGCGAAAAAGGTAAGCACAGCACGCTAAAGCCGCAGAGAAACCTTGAGAGCGGACAGCAATTCGCCGACAGGGATCGACTGAGTTAGCGGGTTCGAAAAGATCATCGAGAAAATCGGAAGGCATCGTGACGGTGTCACATCGAGGCGACCGACCATATTCCAACGAGGAACTTTCGCAGGCGATATCGTAGCGAAACATAAAAACGAGACACTGGGGTGCACCCGACAGGGCGATCCATCTGTCTCGATACACCCACGAACACCCGTTCAATTTTCACGCTAGAAGGCGGCCGTCCAGCAGGGCGATACTATTTTATATGACTTTTCTTCGACGTCAAGGTGAGTTGAATCAGGGCATGGTATACTCTTATCCGGTATCTCTTTCGTTGCTTTCCGACGCTAATTTTAGCGACCAGCCATTTTGGACACGAGGAACGTGCGCCGATCTACGGTGTGTGCGGCCCGTTTCTACGGAAATGAAACGTTTCTCTGTCTCTTTCTTTCTTTCCATTCTCCGTCTTTCTCTAACGCGTGCTCTGTCGCCTTTGCTGGCCTATTCTTTTTTCCCCACTTTCCTCGCAAGAGTTCTCGACATTTCTGCGGCGAAACGATCGATATTACTCGGTGAAATTTCTATCGCGTGGACCAAAACGGCTGGTCGAGGCTTCTCGTATGACCGATACCGAAACGATCGCAGCAACACCACGCGATATCGATGTGCCGATGAATCACGTTCAAACCTTTTTCGGCTATTATAATGGGGAAACAAGTGGAACGTGACCGCTCCTGTTGCGTGGAAAGCAGCAATAATTGATCTAACCTAACGTTTCTTCAAACCGCACATCGCGGAATCGATTGTTCCGATTGGTTATCTGTCACGAAATTTTGCATGCGATATCAATATTTATTTCTACGTTCGTTACAAAGTGCAATGTCACCCGATGATTAGCAATTATGATCGCTGTTTCTCTAACAAAGACATCGATTCCCCGAATCCGTTTGATACGTTCAGGCATGTTGTTCGAACGTGTTTCAATGTTTCGGTATCGATGATGCCTACAGAAGCAGAAATATATATATATTTTATTTTTGGTTACGGTTATCTGTTGTTATTAATCGATGCTTTCACAAAAAGTGACATTATTATGAAATGTATTAATTTGTATTTCACAAGGATACTTTAGCTGTGGTTGAAAAAAATTCAATGTTTTCAATGAGGTTGAGCCAGTTCCGAAAATGTTTTTTTTTTTCAAACTGCTGCTAACGTCATTTGGATCAAGCTCGCGCACACATTCGTGGACACGATCTATGAACGCCTTTATTTACAGTACTTTCGAGGTGTGCTTGGAATATTTTTCTCGTCGATTATCATACAATCGGTAACATTTATCTGAGCCTGGAATTTTTTTAATCAGCCTCGAATGATGATACACGAGGAAGTTATCAGGAGGATAATAAGAATAATTATTTTGATTCATTGAAAGCTGGTGTTTCATTAAGTGTTTGTTTATGTTACAAGAAATAATCGGTATCGCGAAATATCTTCGTTTCGAAATCGAATCGAGTACAACGTCGATTGAATCGGAATAAGATTACAAAAGGTTAACTCTTATTTTGACACATATCCTTTTCCCGATCATGCAATATTTATGTTTCGATCCGCTCATCTAATTCGGGCTTAAATTGTTCAACATATATTTATATATATATGATATATATATTCTCTTTGAATCAAACTTTCTTGCATTTGCGTTTACTACGTTATGCTTTCGTCGGTTAAAGAAATGTACCGACGGAAGATAGTGGCTGCCACATACGAAGTGTATATGTATATTTAATAACGATCAAGATAGCAACTAGATAAGATTCTATTGGAATAGTGTTCCAAAAGTGCTATTTGAAATATTCTGTGCAAAATCAAATCAAATAATATCATAAATATCATACGACGCATCGACAAATAAAATATTTCAATGAAAGCAAATTCAGGGAAGAAATGGTACTCTAACAAAACAGCAATCGTGTAATATAATTACCTTATATTATATATAATATAATATATTATATTATTATATATTATATTATATTATTATATGTTATATTATATTATTATATTATTTATATATATATATATATATATATATATTACCTTAACATTTATACATATGTATAAATCTACTGTTTACGCTTTTGTTTAGAAAGGTGGATCATTCATTATTTAGTATAATATTTTATTTTGCGCCAGCCAAGTTCAACGAGGGTTCGTTCAGGTCCGGTTTTGAAACTGATTCTCCGAACGTTCTCGCGTGTAATCGGACCTTCTGTTCCCTTCGTGCACGCATGCCTTATTTTTTCCGTTTATCTGCGGCTTAAGATGGCCTGCTTTGACCCTTAAGTATGCATAGCCGCACGATAGCGATGCAAAATAATAAATACCTCTTAATCAGTTCATCAGTGGTTCTCAGCCGGCCATGGCTGTGGACCGGAAATTGGTTCTAGCTGCGCCATCTTTTGAGAACAAAAGGCGTGAGTGAGCAAACACTTCCGTCGTCGTCGAGGTGACACCGATTTTATTATTAGGTTGATCGGAAGGTACTTAACGCTGTTTTACCAAAAAGAAAAAGAACAAATAATAAATATGCCAACAGGGTCACGTATAAAGCGTCGATCGTGATCTTTGTATTTTCCGTAAAATGGTTTAATCAATCTTGTTATACTCGTAGTACAATTATTCAGGGGATCTGTGACCTATTATCATATATTCTCATGTTAGGTACACGATGCATTAAAAAGGTATTGCAATTGAACTGTTTGCCAATCAATGTTCAATGCTATGTAAAATCGAGAATTGTTGATTTTTACAAATTTGTATTCGTACAAACTGTAATGTTTTCAAGACTATTAAAGAAATATTTTTCTTGATCAAATTACACCGACTTTTTATTGTCTGCGTCTCGACGGTGGCAATGAGTGTACTATTGCGCTTGGACTATTCACGGTTTGCAAGAACCTTCGGATAAGGATGCGTGGTCGGTCGAAAATAAGATTTCGCAGTAGAACTTTTCCAATCTCTTTTCTTCCGATCGATCGAGACTCATCATCGGTTTCGTTACGCAAGGCGTTTAATCGCTCGTCATAGATAACTCTATTTATTTAACGATTCGCGTTGCAGTAAATGCTAAACATTCTTCGTACGCCGTCAGATCAATGAAAAGTCTTTTCCTTGAGCGTTACATACTTTTCGTGCAACCAGCACTTTTCAAATCTGTTTTTCTCGTTCATCATTTTTTCCACTCTATGTTTCTGCAACGTGTGCAATGAAGCATTTGATATTAATGTCTGTAAAGCGAATAATTTAGAACCAGAAACGTGTCATTAAGCCTCGTAAGACACATTAGGGTCTCGTATAATTGAAGGCGCACACGTTTTTAGTAACGTTCAATTATCGAGTCGAGAGCCTAAATCGTCCGTTTCTTTTTCTACTTGCTATTTTCTCAGTTGTCGAAAGATTTTCAGAAATGATAGCACACCAATTGTTACGAGAAGCAACATGTAACACCGTTCAAAACTGTTTCAGCGCTCGCAGTTCGAACATTAGTTGTTCCTGTTGGTTATCTATGATTACGTATTTGAAATAAATATACTGCTCGAAATAGAAACTCGCTTATATAATTTAGTGGAACAAAGATACAACGTTCGACGTGCACAGCAAACTGATTATAAATAATAGATTGTGATAAACGAAACGATGCACGATTTACAGTTTTCGCGGAAAGAATTTCTGAAAATTGTGTCACATCGATCCGTTTACGCATTTTATTTCCGTATTTACGCAAAGCCGATCGAAATGAATCGCGCAGGAATATTTGCAGTACTTCTGTTACAGCATAATTAGCAATTATTTTTAGCCACATGGGAGGCGAGAGCTTTCCCGGTGGGAAAATCTCGGAAATAACTTTAAACTCGTTGTGTCGGCGTTTCACCGACGCTCAGAAAGTATAATAAGCTGTGGAGGTGTGGTCGCACTTCTTTCTCTTGGCCTGTACACGATTCGGTACTTACGGCCATGCAAGCACATACAGCCCATATCCCACGATATCATTCGCCCACGGCTTTCTCGAAGGATCGCTTCGTTTTCGAGCCGCGCACGCAGCTTTACGTAACCGTTCCCGCGGAGTGAAAGTTGCTAGATAGCGTTGCATTTTAAACTTGCTCTAGTAAACAATTTGCTAGCTGACCCGATCGATCCCGTTCGAGAGAGCGCTGCGCCGCCCGTTTTCTCTGTGTCAAGTTCGGTCAACGCACAATTATCTCCTGCGACGCATCCCCCGGGCGGCCAGCGTTATCAATTCCGTCGTTTTCTCGCGCCTCGTATTCCAATAATTTCTTGCTCCCTCTTGGGTCGACTTTGTTGCTCCCGTTATCCCGGGATAACACGTTACAGCCTCGGATATTTTATTCACGCGTATTATCTCAACTGCGGGCTATTTGGTTAATGTTTCTCCATCATTTTGGTACAGACAGAAAATATTGTATATTATTAATACTTTGATCATTCATATTAGACGGTTACACGATAAATCTGGTAATTTTATGTTTTGAAGATAGTTTGAATCTTAGTGGCGATGCGCTCGATTTAGCTTTTTATATATCAAATAAATTTCTTTGATATTGGACCAACATCAGGAGATAGCAAAACTTTTTCTGGTGAAATAGGGTAGGTTTGCGCCAGAAGGTCTATTTTTCATATAAATCTATTTCAGTAATAACAATTTAGAAATTTGCCATTTCATTTTATATAAACCACAACTATTATGCTTTACTTTTACTATAGTACTATATTATAGTACTATATATATTATAGTATATATTATAGTACTGTAGTACTATTATAGTACTATATTATAGTATATATTATAGTACTGTAGTACTATTATAGTACTATATTATAGTATATATTATAGTACTGTAGTACTATTATAGTATATATTATAGTACTGTAGTACTATTATAGTACTATATTATAGTATATATTATAGTACTGTAGTACTATTATAGTACTATATTATAGTATATATTATAGTACTGTAGTACTATTATAGTATATATTATAGTACTGTAGTACTATTATAGTACTATATTATAGTATATATTATAGTACTGTAGTACTATTATAGTACTATATTATAGTATATATTATAGTACTGTAGTACTATTATAGTATATATTATAGTACTGTAGTACTATTATAGTACTATATTATAGTATATATTATAGTACTGTAGTACTATTATAGTACTATATTATAGTACTATAGTACTACTTTTACTTTTTATATA